CTGAAAACAATCCTTAATCGTTTTCCTTCTCATTTTCATTTTCCCCCATCTCATTCTTACGTTTTATTTTCGGGGAAACGTTTTCTACTTGTTTGGTACCTAAAAAGTTAGCAAAATTGAAAACGATCCTTAATCGTTTTCTTTCTCATTTTCATTTTCCCCCATCTCATTCTTATGTTTTATTTTCTTTCCCCAACTCCCCCCCACCCACTCTTCTCCAATCTCCCTCGACCCCCATCTTCTCCGTTCTAAGCCTTGGGTTGTCGGTGGAATCGCGCAAGAAATTCTCCTCCCTCTTTCCTTATACTCGACGGGCTGAACTCCTCCAGTCTCCCTCTTTTCCGTTCCCCCTCTTCTCTGATCACCCACTTTCTAAACGGTGGATCTGATAATGACGGCGGGAAAGGGGGACTCTGATCTCGCAATGACAAAGAAAGGGGGCTCTGATTTCGCAACGACAGGGAAAGTAGGGTCTCATTCTTGCAATGGAAAGGGATGGTGGGTGGGTCTCGATCTTGAGATGCAAGGGGATGAGATAGTTTGTATTGTGCGGGAGGTGGTTGGCGATAGGGTTTTGGAGGTGGTGGGGAGTTTTGAGACTATGTTGGGTTTCTAGATTTTCTTTGTATTTTGATTAGATGAATGCTTTGGGTAGCTAAGTTGGATTTTGGATGGGTGTTGGCCTCTGTTTCCATTTCCTTTGAGAACATCATAGACGTGGGTATGTTGTACTTTTGCTACAAGAAATGGGTTTGATTGCTATCACGTATTTCGATGGTTCTGAAGTATATTAAAACTAGGTTTATGAGTTGTGGTTTGAAATTAGTTACATTTGATAGTTTTTTCAGATAAATTTAGATAGTCGAAATTCAATTTAACTATATCTATTTTTACTTTATGTTCAAAGAACAATAAATCTTGAAGTTATTTTTTTTTATCTGTGTTGTATTTTGAATGAAAGAATGGTTTTATATTAGCTATTAGTGTTTTTATTTAGGATTCAATTATTATTTATTTAATATATTATTATATGTTTTTAAAAATTAAACCACTAAACGCAGTTTCAGTTTTTTTAAAACTGAAAATAATGTCAGAATAAAACTACTAAACGCATTTTCAAAAATAATTCCAAAATGGAAATGAAAACGTTTTCATTTTCATTTTCATACAGAAAACAAAACAATTTTCGAACGAGTTCCAAACGCACCCATAGTATTACAGTTTACCTTTTTGTTATCTGAAAATTGTTTTTGGCTTGAAGATTTTCCCAATTGTATTGCTACTTATGTAAGTGCTGATATGATTGGTATCTCTTAATAAAGCGAAATTCCTTTTCAAAATAAAAAAAAAATAACACATGTCGCACAAATAATATAATTGTAAAATAATTTGATGCATGATTACTTTTCTACCCATTTATAGTTAGAATATATCATTTTTGGGTTAGTATAATAAAAAAATAAAACCAAACAAAATCATCATATTCCTCTTCCTTTAATGATGTTGCGAGCTCTCCCTGCTAACATCGATCGTTCCCCACCATCGATAAAAGAGGAAAACTTTATGGGGTGTGTGCTATCTAGTCGATTATGAAATACTTAAGGTTCGTTTGGTACGAGGGTTTAAACCAGGGTGATTTTAGTTTTGATTTTGAAATCAGAACCATAATTCATGATTTTAGATACAAATCATGGTTCTGAAACCAGAACCAGAATCATAGATTTGAACCATCTAAAATTAATGGGGTGGGTGATTTTAGAATCAGGGATAATTCATGGTTTAAAACATCACATAAGGGTTCAACCCTTGAATCAGAATCATCCAAACCAAATACTAATTCTGAGTGAGTCAAATTAAAATCACTTTTTTATTTTTTTGTAAACAAACACTAATTTAAATCTGAAATCATGATTCCAAATTTAAAATCCTTATACTAAACAGCCACTTATACAATAATGGAATTCAATCCACGAGTGTTTCTATATATAGTTGGGCGACAACATCTATGGAGACATCGGGCTTCCTTTCAGATGCTTTGGAAAACAAAGGAACCATTGGGCCTTGGAAGAATGTTCCTAAGATTCTTTCATTTTTAGAAGTTAGATGTTACTATTTTTTAGAGTTTTTTACTGTAATAAAACTCGAATTTTAAACTCAAATCAGTGAAATGAACGGGACCTTAATTATTCTTTAATAACGAATCATTCAATTTTCTTTAAACACAACAGAGACTCTACAATAAATTTTACGATAATACTCTCAGTTTATGTGTCATAATCCACTTATGTCGTACTTTCAGTCATTCAAAGTAAAAGAAAGGACAAATTTGTTAACAATAAGATAGATGAAGGGAACGATATTACAAATACATATTCAGAAAGTAAATTGTTGCAAAATAATTTGAGGAGAATTTTTATAATTAATCTAAAAAAAGTTAGACCTCTTAATTTTAGACTGGGCAAAAGTTTTCTCGACACACCTTTTCTTCTTATTTTTTATTCTTTTTATTAGACTGGTAAGGGGAGGCATGTGCAAAAGCACGTGCCTTTTGTTTTTAAATGACATAGAAGCATTTATGTTGCATTGTATGTAATGTTTGATTAGTTATATAATTTTTATTATTATTATACTTTAGTAATTTATTAGCTAAAAAAATGATAAAATTTTACAAAGTTTAATTTAATATTTTGTCCCTCTCCCCAATGGAAGGCTAAAACTCTGAATTAACAATTAATATATTTCTCAAAAATATAAAAATTTATATAAATCAAAATTTTCAACACTATCGTTTTATATATTTTTTCTATTCTGCTCAATCCCTCTTTCTATTATCTCTTTTATTATTTTGTTATACTTTCACTGCATTAACTGCTCTTCAATCTATCTTCTTACTTTATTCCCGCTCTCTTTGAATATACTCAGGGTTCGTTTAGTTAGCTGATTCAAATTTTTAATTCGAGTTAAAATGTGATTTTATGTGAGAGATTTTTACTGTAACAGAAAAATTAAATGTGATTGTTTGTGAGAGCTTTTTCCTGTAGCAAAACTCGAATAAGCAAAATAAACGGAGCCTCAAATATGATTCACATAAGATATTTTTAAAATTAAGAAAAAATATTGCCCATTTATATCCTTCTATATATAAAAATGTTATCATCTACTAATAATATTCACCTAGAAGTAAAGAAATACAAGTGAAAATAAAAAAGTAAAAGTACGAAATCGAATATATTTGTTTTTGGTAAAAAAATTCTTATATAAATTACATAATGATAATTGAGGCTTAAAAAACCAATAGACAAACGAACAAAAAATAAAGATTAAAACAAATGAAAGACAAGAGATCTATTAAGTAAAAGAATAAGGATTAGATTAAAAGAATAAGGATTAGATTAATATATTTATATATTAAATAAAATAATAAGGATTAAATTAATTAAACGTGTGTCATTTAAAAAAATCAAACTTGGGATTATGAGCAACACTATGGATGGCAGTTTCGTTATTTACATTAAAGATAATGCGATTTATAATTTGACTAAAGTCAAGCACTCAAACGTGGCATTCCAAGCAGCAACCACTGTCCAATTTGGCACACATGTCATACGGGAATATATACTTTGTTTATTTTACTAATTTAAATTTAGTATTTAAGTTTTGTTACAGTAAAAAAATTTCAGAAATAATCACATTTAATTTTTTTATTACAGTAAAAAACTCTCACATAAAGTTATATTTTAACTTAAATTAAAAACTCAAATCAACAAATTAAACGGACTTATAAAATGAGAGGGAAAAAAAATAACAAAAAAAAGCGACAGGTCAATTGACGCCTACTGTTTTCACACTTTTTATATACTTATAGGATATATGGTTGTTATTTTAGAGGAAAATAAGATGATTGTTTTTATAGTAAAATAAAAAATAAAAGGATATTAAAATACATAAATAAAAATAATTATATGATGATATGTAAAAAATTATCATATTATTACAATTAAATTTTGAATCTTAAATGATTATCATGAAAAATTTAAGAATGTAGAAGGAGGTAAACAATATTTTTCTACGAAATGAAAATATATTGTAAAAATATAGAAAAAATTAGAAAATTAAATTAAGATTCGTTGTATTTACCCTAAATAAATTATTCGTGATTTGATTCATATGACCCATGACCAAATTTGACAAATACGGAATTTACTCGATAATTTCTAACTTATTCCATAATTATATTTTAATAAATACGTAGATTATGAAGTATACTATCACAAATTCTAATTTATACCATAAAATCCTACCATTAAAAATTCGTACTACATATATATTTGTCAAGATTTTATAGTGTTTTATTTTAGATATTTTATTTTAATTTTATTAGTTAATAAAAATTTTTATTTTAAAACGACTTTTCTGCTAAAATTAAAATTACAGTAAATATAGTAAACATATTATTTATTACCATAAAGATTGAAAATAAGGTTATTGATTACAATTTCTCAAGTAAAAACTAAAATTAAAATAAAATTCAATGGTGTGAAGATTTTTTAACTACCCAACCCAAATAATTTCCTAACCAATCAATTAGAAAGGAAAGGACCAAATTAAAGGCTTCTAAAAACCAAAAACAAAAAAAAAAAAACAAAATATAGAGTTTTTTATTTCAATAAGGAGACGTTTAGTTTATGGATTATAATCATGAGATTAAAATTATTTTTAATTTATGTATATTTTTTATAAAAAAAATATTATAACAAATCATGAATCATGATTCGAATCGGGTATAAATTTCCCGTTTAATTTGCTGATTCGAGTTTTTAATTCGAGTTAAGATGTGATTTTATGTGAGAACTTTTTACTGTAGTAAAAAAATTAGATGTGATTATTTGTGAGAACATTTTACTGTAACAAAACTTAAATTCTAAACTCGAATCGACGAAATGAACGGCCCAAATAACCCCTAAATTTAAAGAACCTTTTGCGACTAAAGTCCAGACGATTTCGGTGGATTTCAGACATTTGCCACACGTGTTCTCAAGTCCCCGTCTGTCCACAGTCCACTCCTCCTTGGTGAACACAAGCACTGAATTACCAAAACCACCCTCACAACTCCAGAACCCAAAACGCCTAAACTCCATGGGTATTCCAGTCATTTCGTATCTCCACCAACCCAATCTTCTTCATCATTTCGCAACTCAAAAAATCCCCTCCACTTTTCTCCCTCTGCAGGACTGCAACTCAAGTACTCAACCACTGAAGAAGGCAAAGTAAATCCCGTCAAACCCGATGGGCAAAAAGGTAAAATGGAGCTGGAGCTCGGCTCTTATCGGCGCAGCTTCGGCGGTGGCGGCGACGGCTCTGATCGGGGCCAAGCCAAAGGACCCCACTTTCCACCTCATTTCCATCAACCTCACCTCCTTCAAGCTCAACCTCCCAGTCCTCGACGCCGAGCTCATCCTGACCGTCCACGTCACCAACCCAAACATCTCGCCCATCCATTACTCCTCCACCACGATGTCGATCTTCTACCAGGGCGAGCTCCTCGGCTCGGCCGACGTCCAAGCCGGCTCCCAGCCGCCGAGGTCGTGCCAGCTTTTGCGGCTTCCGGCTCGGCTTGACGGCCTCCGGCTGGCTCACCACGCGGCTCGGTTCTTCTCCGATGTGGCCAAGAGAGAGATGTTGCTCGACGCCGCCGTGGATATTGGCGGCACGGCGAGGGTCCTGTGGTGGGACCACAAGTTTAAGGTCCACGTGGACAGCCATGTGACCGTTGATCCGCTGTTTCTGGATGTGATTGGTCAAGAAAATAAGTCCGAGCTCACGCTTAACCTTGCGTAGGATAATATAATAGCGTGGTGATTTATTATGTCAAGACTATACTTTAGAGCTTTTCGAATTGTTTCGTGTAAGGCATGATTTTTTTCTTTTTTTTTTTTTGTTGTCATTTGTTATTTGTGAAAAACATGATGGAATAAAAAACAGTTGAAAATTTGGAATTGTTATTGCTTACTTTTCGGTAATCCACTTGCATTATTGTTTAAGTGTCATATGGACAAATAACAACAATTATTGCCTTTTTCTATTGAATAAAAGGTTCTATGTTTTAACGTTAAAAGAAAAAGAGAGATAAAATCTAAGGGTCGGTTGATACTCGTTTATTTTATCAATTTAAATTTTTAATTTTTATATTTTTTTTAAAAATTACATTTAATTTTTTTTATTATAAAAAAACTTTTCACATAAAATTAATTTTAATTTAAATTAAAAATTTGAATCAACTAACTAAACCAATTGAAACGAATTGAAGTAAACGAATTGAAGTAGGATAAATATCACTCTTTTCCACTATTTGTAAAATATGCCAACTCTTCGCCGTCAAGGACTTGCAAATTTGATCCACTCATGACCCCTTGATGCATTGTTGATTTCTATCACTTTGGGCCATATTTTTGTATGTGATTGATTTGCTGGTTGTTGTGTGATATTGATATGTTGGACTAGATGGGCTGGATTTTCAGTTTACCTGTGCTACTTGATGTAAAATGTAAATTAAAATTAAAGGGCTCTTCACACATGCAAAGTTTAAAGAGTAACATTTAAATACATAAATTTTTTTAAAATACTGTCATTATATAATAAAAATGTGACACTAATATGATAATTACTATATTATTTTTGCTATATTTTTAATATTTTAAAATTTTTGTTAAATTTCAACTCAAAATTTTGTTACGCAGTATAATTATCACAAATAAAAACAAAAAAAGATCACCTAATTTTACGCGATTTCATGGGGTGTGGATTAAACTGGGACTTATGGGTGTCAATTTTACGCGTACATTTATCCAACTACCTTACAAATGGCCCCGTTCATTTCACCAACTAAACGCTTCCACTATTTGTAAAATATGCCAACTCTTCGCCGTCATTATGGGCTACGACTTGCAAATTTGATCCACTCATAGCCCCTTGTTGCATTCTTGATTTCCATCATTTTGGGCCATATTTTTGTATGTGATTGATTTGCTGGTTGTTGTGTGAAATTGATATGGGCTGGTTTTTCAGTTTACCTCTGCTACTTGTTGTAAATTAAAATTAAAGGGCTCCTTACACATGCAAAGTTTAAAGAGTAACATTTAAATACATACATTTTTTTAAAATACTGGGCGTTCTTTTTACCTTTTTTGAGTTAGGTAACTCGAGTGTAAATTTTGAGTTGAATTTGAGTTATAACTTGAGTTAAAGTTGTAACTTGAGTTTGTATTTGATTGTTTACATTTGAGTTATAGTTTGAGATAAGAATCTTTTTGAGTTTGTGTTTGAGTGAGTCAAAATTTAAATTTGTATTTAGATAGTATTTTAATAAAAACTCAATGCTAATAGAAAATTTTAATAGGGTTTATGGGTAGGGTTTTATTCGTATTTTCGTTGTCAACGCATAGAAAAAAAAAATCATCTCATTCAGAATTAAAACGAAAAAGTTATAGCATTTTTAAGAATAGAAAAAATATTGTTCATTAATTTGAGTTCAAGTTTCTGAACTCGAGTTGAGGAGGAAACTTGAACTCGAGTTTTAGTCCTAAACTCGAGTTCAAACTCGAGTTCAAACTTAAAAGAACATGAACTTAAATAAAGTTATAACTCGAGTTGCTTTTTTTAAGTTTTTAACTCAAAAAATGGGCTGCCGAATAGCCCCTGTGTCATTATATAATAAAAATGTGACACTAATATGATAATTACTATATCATTTTTGCTATATTTTTAATATTTTAAAATTTTTGTTAAATTTAAACTCAAAATTTTGTTACGCAATATAATTATCTCAAATAAAAACAAAAAAAGATCACCTAATTTTACGCTATTTCATGGGGTGTGGATTAAACTGGGACTTATGGGTGTCAATTTTACGCGTACATTTGTCCAACTACCTTACACGATTTTATAGGTGACACCGTTCATTTCATCGATTCGAGTTTAGAATTCGAGTTTTACTATAGTAAGGCTCTCAGAAACAGTCACATCTAACTTTTTTGCTACAGTAAAAAGCTCTCACATAAAGTCACATCTCAACTCGAATTAAAAATTCGAATCAGCGAATTAAACGGACATGTACATAGAAAATCTCTTCCCTTTTAAAATTAATTTCTTTTTTCATTTCAGGAAAAAAAAAAAAAAAAACATCATTCCCCTTTTTAAAGCAGTTGTAATGGACATTTAACTAGGGAGAAATAAGTTGACGTTGAATTATAGTTTTCTTTTTTCCCCATCATGATGTCTGTGAGTAGGGATCAATGGTTTTTGAGGAATGGCCCAACCAATATCATATGATAAACATACTTAAAGATAAGAATTTAGCACCCAAGCTAAGAAAGGGTTGCACCAAAAGCAATAAAGAGAAAAAAAAAAAGAAAAAAAGAAAAAACAACAACAACAAAATTGTTGTTGATTGATTAAGAATAATCATTATCTCCACTAAATTAGATGTTTTTTAGTGTCACGCGTCAGGCTAATGATGTTGCTGCTAGGGACACCTTGAAGAAATGTGAATTGGCTCCTAGTAGAATTGATTAGTTATGTACAGATAATTTCTAAGGATTTGTTCGTTTGGTATGAATATTTAAATCAGGATGATTCTATTCATAATTCATAATTTTAGGTTTAAATCATGATTCTGAAACCATGATTCAGAATTAGATATTTGAATCACCTTGAATTAAAAGGATGGTGATTTTAGAATCATGATTTGAGTTAGTTTAAAACATCACATCATATTCTTAATCATGATTTAGAATCATCCAAACCAAACACTGATTAATGAATCATGATTCAGAATCACTATAAACAAATACTAATTATGAACTAAGATCCAGAATTATGATTCTGAATCCATATACTAAACGCACCCTAAGAAAACCAAGTTACAGTAATTTTTTTCTTTTAAGAAAGAAAGTAATCTTGGATTATTTATCATCTTTTTTCTTCTTCTAGGGTGGATGGAGGTATCATATAATTTTTTTTTTGTTTGCAAACTTTAATTTGGCTATCAATTTTTTTAGGTTTCAAATCACAATACTCACTCGTGATTAGAAGATCTTTTTAGTATTGGTTAATAATAAAATTCTTTATTTTTTCCCCCACTACATATGCTTAAAGAGATAAACAATGTAGTCACTAACCCTTTAAAGTTATTCGATTTGATCATGTGAACCTGCCGTGTAATATAATATGGCTCGTTCATTTCACCAATTCGAGTTTTTAATTTTAATTTTGTTACAGTTAAAAGCTCTTACAAAAAATCATATATAATTTTTTTTTACAGTAAAAAACTCTCATATAAAATCACATTTCAGTTCAAATTAAAAATTTAAATCAACAAACTAAATGAGACTTTCATAAATGTGACGCACTCCTTCAGAACGAATTAAGCTATCTTAATCTGATTCTAAACAATAAAACACAGAAAAAACGACATAACCCTACTTCTAAGCAAACGACAACCAAAACTGCAAAACGCGAGAACTTCCACATATACGAGACCATTAATTACACTGGAAACTGGAAAGGACTTTTCGGAGGATATACATTTTTGGTTATAAGAACTTCAAGAAACAAAATCAGCCGGCTTTTTTTTTATATATTAATTATACGATATTTAATCCTTTTTTATATAAAAATATAAATCTTTAATCGAACTAGTCATTTTGATAGAGCAATCACCAATTATTAAAGTGTTGTAGGATCTTTGAATTTGATACTGTATATGTATGGATGGCTTTGTCAGCAATTAAAAAACAATTGGTAATTTATGAATTCTCTTTTTTTTTTTTTTTTTTTTTTTTTTTTTTTTATTTTGTGCTAATCTGGTAATTTACGAATTCATTGTGATGCCTCAGTTCCTTGTCCAAATAATTGTGATATTTATTATTGTAATTTTGTGGTACTTCTAAAAGGCCAAATAATAACCCAAGAGTACCGTCATTTCATAACTAGCAACATTAACACATCATTTTCTGATGGTGATTTCCTATCACAATAGAGTATCCCTTGAGAACAATAACAGTTGTAGATAAATGGACTTTAAAAAATATTGAGCCAAAAAAAAAAAAGGAACTTTAAAATATTCATAATTTTCGTGCATGATAATGTTTTTGTATGTGATATAATGTGAAGAAAAGTTATTTTTCAATATTAGTGAAGAAAGATAAATTTAACAATTAGAATGTCATTTTCATATGATGTCTTCATTGATTATCTACATAAATTACATATTCTGCTAATTAAAAAAAAGCCTGCAAGGTTGGAACTTGAATGTACTTGTCAGCAGCAAAATTATACTCTTTATTAATGGAGTTCGTTGACTATTAATAAGGATTATACTTAAAACATACAAATAAATAAATTTTAATAAAAGCTCTAAAAAAGCTTTACATAACTTTTTTCTAACTCGCGCATTGGACTTTTTTTTTAATGGTCAGTTTTATTACTTTTCTTCATTAATTATTTCTATAAAATACAATCTATAAAGGGATGTTTGGTAAGGGAATTCGTACCCTGATTCGAATCATGATTCATAATTCGTTACAGTGTTTTATCTCACAAAAAATACACGTAAATTGAAAATAATTTTAATCCATGAATCAAACGTCTCATAAATGTAAGGTGTTTTTTTTTTTCACCTCAAATCTCATTTAGAAAAATTATAAATTAGTGGACTAAATTTTAATAGACTCGTCAACTTGACTAATTCGAACCTTCAAATTTTATTAGTTTGATTATGACACATCAACTAACAAAATAAGCTAACTATGACAAATCATGTTTCACTCTTTCTTCTCTTACCATCAAGCTACTAAAAGGAAATTTGATTATGAAGAAACAGAAGGAAATGGCATCCAAGATTTGGATCTCACTGTAATCAATTAACAGTTGAGATTAGCTGTTAATGTTATAAGTCCACCATTGAGATTAATATTTGAGCAAAAAACTATTATTGAGATTAAAATTACATTTGGAATTCATCTCTTAACTCAAAAAAAAAAAAAAAAAAAAACAAAAGGAAAAACAAAAAACAAAAGAGAAAGAAACTCACCAGTTTGGCCAAATTTGAATACTGCTTTAAGATACCAAAAATATAACATTTGGAAAAGAAATAGAAATTGGTGAGACCCACGTTCTTAATTTTCATTCTTGAAAATACAACAAAGATTGGAAGAGTTAAATGTACTCAAAAATCTAAAATGTACAAAAAATCTTGAAAATGCAGACAACCAGCAAGGTCTTATTTTATTTTATTTTATTTTTTTTAATGACACAACCAGCAAGTTATTGACACAATAAAGTGTGTTTATTTATTTTTTATTTGAATATCAGTTTTGTTGAAAAATTTTAACTCCATCCCATAAAATATTGTTATCCTCAATCTATAAAATTTTTGACAAATTGCATTGAGAATTAAACCATATTGGGAATCATTTTTGCTTTTAAATTTTATTCTTCAAAGTTAAAAATAAATAATATAGTAAATTACTTAGCACTCCATTTCACATCCTAAATGCAGTTACATATACAAGAGCTAGTTTAAACTCAAATAACCATCAAATACCAACACTTTCATTAAGAAGAAGAAGAATTAAAAAAAAAAGAAAAAGAGAACACACAGAAACGAGAGCCCTTGTTATGATTATCATTATTTTTTTTTTGGAATATTTTTTAACTATGAAATCTCAAACATATCCTTCTCAAGAAAATTTCGGTGCTAATGTAAGAAAATACATTTCTGAATGGATAAATTACATTAAATTTAATAAATAAAAATAATAATTAAACAGAATTTGATGAAAAAATCTAATGAATGAGAACATTGATAGATTTTTTTTTTCCTGTAATGGATGATAAGATTGATATATTTTTTTCCAAATGGTTGAGAGCATTCTCAGATTTTTTTCCTATTCTAGCAGAAAATTCTCATTTTTAATTTTTATGGTAACACATAATTATTTTATTGTGACGTGAAAGATTATTTTATTGTACAATTTAAAAGCCAGAGACGTAGACCGATGCTTCCATCTGACTGAAGCTCTTCACCCATTTTCATCACTTTTTGTTTTTTGTTTTTTTTGTTTTTTTATTTCTTTATTATATACTAAATCCACTCCCTTTTACTTCATTAATTTCCCACCAACGCTTTTTTCCCTCTTTCTCTCTCTGACCTCTTTCCTCTCTCTCTCTCTCTCTCTCTCTCTCTCTCTTAAACATCTGTAGCGTTTGTTGTTGTCTCTTGCTTGTTCAACGCTCCAAAAACAGCAGAAGAAATCAGACAACAATAATGAATTAAAAAAAAAAAAGCTAACCTCATCCAGTTAATGATTCTCACGTCCCACAAAACCCACCAAAAACCAACAAAAAAACAATCTTCAATTCATTTCATTCCTTTTTTTTTTTCTTTTTCAAGAAATAACCTTTCTTTCCTTCAACCCAACTCCACCCCTCTATGACTCTTTCTCTTTGAATCTTTCTCTTTCTCTCTCCCAAAATCCCAACAACAAATATTCCATTCTTAATTTTTTTTTCTTTTTTTAAAAAATAATATTTCAAGAAAAGGTTGTCGTTTTCATCTGCCGGCCATGACCGAGGTCCTCCACTCTCCTTCCCATTTCGCTGCCTCGCCCTCCTCAAGAAGAAGAAGCTCTTCTTCTTCCTACGGTGGAGGAGGAGAGGTAGATTTCTCCGTCAGGGACTGTGACGCAGCTGCTGCTGTTTCCGAGGAGGAGGAGGAAGAAGCTAAAGGCGGTGACGGCGACGGTGACGGTGACGGGCAGAGTAGGGATCAACAGCTGTCGTTGTTGGCATTGTTGGTCGCCGTTTTCAGGAAATCGTTGATTGCTTGCAAGAGCGACAGGAGGGAGCTTTGCTCCATGGAGATCGGTTGGCCAACCAATGTTCGCCACGTGGCGCATGTAACCTTCGACAGGTTCAATGGCTTCTTGGGTTTGCCTGTTGAGTTCGAGCCTGAAGTTCCCAGGAGGCCCCCCAGTGCCAGGTAAAATAAATCATGTCTAGGGCTTTTCTTTTCTTTTTTTTTTTCCCCTTTTTTCTTTTGTGTTTTTTTTTTGTTTTGGGTTGAAATTGCAATGTGGGTTTTGTTCTTTTGGTTCTTGGAATCGAGGAATTTTTGGGTTTGGGTTTGGGTTGTTTTGTTTTTTGTTTTTTTTAATTTAATTGTTGCATTGGCTTATTCAGATACATTATTTGATTACTTGATTGTTATTTTGATTGAAATGTGAATGTGGGCACCCCTAAAGTTGTATTGACTTATTCAGGTTCATTTTTAGGGCCTTTTTTTTTTTTATTTGATTGTTGTTCTGGTTAAAATGTGAATGTGGGTTTTGTTCCTTTTTTGTTTTTGTTTTTGTCTCTAAGGTTGAATTCGCTTATTCAGGTGCATTTAGGGGTATGGCTGAATATTTGACGGTTGTTCTGATTGAAACGTGAATGTGGGTTTTGCTTTTTCTTTTTTTAGTGGAGAATTTACCTTTGAGAGTGCATGAATCTGGACCTTTACTTTTAATAAATACCCTTTGTTAGTGTAATTATTTGACTAAAAAGGTTATGATTTAACCCATGCACTTTCAAGGGGTATTTAAGATTACCCTTTTTTTAACCCAAAAGTTGTATGGGCTTTTTCAGGTAGGTAATTAATGGCTTTGGTGATTATTTGATTGTCGTTTTGGCTGAAATGTGAATGTGGGTTTTGTTTTTTGGTTTGCTTGCGTCACTTGGGAAGTTAATGGTTTGGATTGGTAGATACTGCATTTTCTATTTCTAAAGTTGCATTGGCTTATCAATTTTGTTTGATTGTATTTTGTGTTGAAATGGATGGGATTAAGGCTTGTTGTTGTTGTTGTTGTATTTTGTGTTGAAATAGATGGGATTAAGGCTTGTTGTTGTTGTTGTTGTTGTTGTTGTTGTTGTTGTTGTATTTTGTGTTGAAATGAGATGTGGGTTTTTGCGTTGTTATAATTTGGTTGTTGGTCTTTTTGCTTGGTAAGAATCAGGGAATTTAGAAAATTTTGAGTCATGACAGTGTGATACAATTTTTGTTTCAAAAGTTGCATTGGCTTATTCAAATGGTTTGCTTTGGGAATCTGCTCTGTTTTTAGCCTTCATTTTGTGAAGCCTTACAGGCTTATGCAAATGTGCTCATTAGGTTTGTGTTGAAGTGCCTAAGAGGCTTCCCAATGCTAGACACTCAGCCATCTTTTATATATTTATTTATTGTTTGATTACTGTTTTGTTGACATGTGAATGTGGATCTTGCATTGTTGTGAGTGTTGTTACTATTGTTTAAGGTCATTTCAATTGAGAATTTTTTTTTTTTTGGATTTTGCGTGGTGGGTTGTGCCAAAAATTCCCCCCTGAAGTTGAAGTATTTTTGTCGAATTGTAAATCTTCTGTGCTTTGAGTTTTGGGTTTATGAAGGTTTATGGCAATGAATTTAATACTATTATGTATTTTTTCATTTGGCGGGCAGTTTTTCCCCAAATATAAATTACATGGTTGTGGAGATTTGCAAGGTTTCATGACCTTTTCTATTATTCATATTTTGATGGATTATCCAAACCTTCAAACTATATAACTATTGCACCTATTGCTGGGTTTCACTTTAGTGAAGAAGGAAAGAAGAATTGATGTGCTGTATTGGAGAATTTAACTTGCATAACTAGCAAACAAAGCTTTCCTCCTTGGTCGGTGTGTCTGTAGTTGTCTGCAATGTCTTGAATAGTTAATCTTTTCTATTGCATAGTCAATATATGACATACAAATAAGAGATTTCTCTTAGCCTGTCAGCAAAATTTAGTTGAAATTTGAATTTTTTATTTTTTGAGACAAAGCGGTTTGCTGGTTTTATTTGAAATGCTATAATAATTTGGTTAGTTTTCTAATTGAAATCCTCAATGCAGCACAACTGTTTTCGGAGTTTCCACTGAATCCATGCAGTTATCTTACGATTCCAGAGGAAATAGTGTGCCAACAATTCTCTTACTTATGCAAGGACACTTGTACACTCAAGGAGGCCTACGAGTATGGCACTCCACTTCATCTCTATTATTTTGGACTTTCTTTCTTGACCTCAAACATTTTAAGATGATTTGAGCAACCAAGCCCCAATTGTTTGGAATTGCACCACATAATATCTGACCTTTTTCCCTTTTACTGTGTAAAAGACTATCGTTATTTCTCATAATTCATGGTTGGATGCAAAATTATGTAGGATTTATCTTCTATTGGAGATTTAACATATAACTCAATTTTATCATGTTTAGGCAGAAGGGATCTTCAGAATTAATGCGGAAAATAGTCAAGAGGAGTTTGTGAGGGACCAATTAAATAGAGGAGATGTGCCAGAAGGCATAGATGTACACTGTCTGGCAGGACTCATTAAGGTAATAAGTTGTAGCTTAACATTGCTAATGTTTCAAGTTGATTGCTAATGTTTTATGGGGCCCTTTAGTCTGTGGAGTGAATTTTGAAATGTAGGCCCAGATAATTTTTTGGGGTTGGTGTGGTATTAATCTTGGAAAAGTATCTTTTGGATCAATTATGCACTTTAAGTGCATAGACAAGCTAAATAAATACACATTGCAGCATACTATCAATCTATTTTACCATGGGCAACGAATTGGAATGATGACACAAATTTACTAGTGCATTATTAATGTACTTGCAGTGTTTTCAACGTTATGTCTGTGAGGTTATGTTTGAAATTGCATTTCTGCTTTTGTCATTTACCTCCATTTTTTTTAAAAAAGGTGTTATAATACCCTTATCAGCAACCTGTTTTGATTTTCTAACCTCCAACACCTTCCCCAACCTGTTTCATTGTCATGCAATCACTGTTGTCCTGCAATGTGTCACTGTGTTTTGCCAATCCCGCATAGTTGTTACCGTCGAGTTAAGCAAAGAGTTGTATGGTTCTGTAAAAAAAGTAAATCTACAGGATAAAATAAAATACTATGGTCAAAACACGGTGACTGGTTCTGCAATTTCTGTTTTCGGTAGATGGTTTGCCTCTGTTTAATGGCTTGACATCTTTACCAAAAATAAAGGAGACTCTTGATTGAGACCTGTGATTGAGGTTTTTATTTTTATTTTTTTATTTTTTTAGCTTTACCTTTTGAATGAAGAGTTAAAATGAGTAGAAGTTTATATTAGTGCTATTTAAGGAGAGAAGTCAAGTAAGAGTTTTGCATTATGTTGTTAGTATGATGATACGGCTATCTTTAAGGGTGGCGTGCTTGATCTAGTGATAGTGATGTCTCTCCCCCATAGATCTTGTCTCTTATACTGTGTGAATGCTTCTGTGAAATACAAACATACAAAGAAATAGGCGTGTGCTTGTGTTTTGATTGTCTGCCTCAGTGCCTTACGATCTCATATGAATGTGGACTTCCAAAATGAGTATTCTCCTCCTCTGTTCCTCTCGATTTTATCATCTGATATGTTCACCTATTTTGTGTTGATCATTTAGGCTTGGTTTAGAGAACTCCCAAGTGGGGTTCTGGATTCTCTGTCGCCTGAGCAGGTAATCCAATGCCAGACAGAAGAAGAGTGTGCTGCACTTGTGAGGCTTCTTCCCCCTACTGAAGCTGCTCTATTGGATTGGGCCATCAACTTGATGGCTGATGTTGTCCAACATGAAGATCTGAATAAGATGAACGCACGAAACATCGCTATGGTTTTCGCGCCAAATATGACTCAGGTGAGGAATTCAGCAGCGTCATTATAGACCAATCACGTACCAACTGAGTTCACATCCACTTGAAGATTTATGTAGTTATCACCTGAGAGTTTTTATGTAACAATCCTATTAATTAATAGCAGCAAAAACTATTTTCATGGGAAATGGATGTTTAGAATGTGTGTATGTTCTGTTATCTAATAGTCAGAAGGTAATTATAAAGCTAACAGCAATGATTTATTTTTGTAACTGATTTTGTTTGCAGATGGCTGATCCTTTAACTGCACTGATGTATGCTGTCCAAGTGATGAACTTCCTCAAGACACTTATCTTGAAGACCCTGAAAGAAAGAAAAGATCCTGTAATAGATCCTTCTCCTGCTCGCTGTTTGGAGCCTTACGATGAGAATGGACATCAGAGTCCTTCCCAGACTTGCACCAAAGATACTTCCCAAGATAGTGAAGAGCCGGAGCAAAGTTTGATTGCTGAAAAACCTAGTTTAGGAAGTTCCCTTGAGTCTAACCAAAACAACAATCCGACTGACGAAGAGGTTGAGAGTTTCATGAGCTCTATTGAGAAACTAAATTGTGTTGCGGACGATGGTGGGTCTTCTGCGACTTCAGCTCCAGTTGACTCTTCAGTCAACGGAATGGAAGCTGGTAGAGCTAACTGCATGACGAGCGGAGTTCAAGGAAATGCTGGAAAGTGCAAGACTGGTCAATCCAGTAATTCAAATTTTAGAAAGGGTTCAAGAAAAGTGAGTGGTCAGCAGCACGTAATTCCGTCATCAGTGCATGTTGAGAAAACTAAGGAAATTAGCAAACTGAGTCGCATGGAGTCTAGGATGGAGCTGATTGAAGCGTGGCGTTGAAGGAAAAGCTCTTTTCAATGAGGGGTTGGCCTTTTTAACTGACTCTATGGCATCCCTTGTTACCGTGTAAGTTTGATCAATTCTGTAATTGTGAGGAAACATTGTGAATTTGTTCCATGTATTTTCTCTGGCTGCTTGAGTGGTTTTTTGCTTTAACCTTTTCTGATTTCAGGGATGACACTCTTATTCCACTAACATTGCGTTAAAGTTTCATTAATGTTGGTTTCTTGTGTTTGTTTCTATATCCATCTATTTCTTTTCGTGTTTTTTTTTTTTTTTTTCATTCATTTAATACCTTTCACTAGTTTGCAAAATGTGTGGTTTGCCAGCATTTTTTTTATCAGCAACCGTGCAGTTTCTTTGGAATAGTGGTTTTGGGTTTGGTGTAAAGTGGCAAAGAGCCAAATTGTAAGGTGGATAAGTGGAGAGATTGAGTGAACTTATACTCATTTGGCATAATTGGCCAAAATGGGAAAAAAGAAGAGAGTACATAAAACACAATTCTGTTTCTTCTTCCTTTAATCAGTGGAAACTTCTGGTCCCGTTAAATGTGCAATGAATGCTTAAATGCAGACAAGTTGAATGCTGTTTAGCTAATTTAGAGATGTAAACGGGGTGGTTTTTCCAATTTTGTCTACCCTAGCATTCTTTGGTAGGAGGGTTGCAGAGATGGAGAGTAAGAATGATAGATATAATTATATTAATTTTGTATGTTATTTAGTACAAGGAAGTGACAGTTAAAAAGATAGATGTTAGTTATTTGTCTAATTATTATAATGTTCTTTTTATTATTTATTTAATAATTTTTTATAGGGTAAAACAATCTTTTTAATTTAAATTTGGGTGGATTTGAATACTTTCAGATCTAAAAAAATGATGGGTCTCTCTCTCTCTCTCCTCTTCTCTTCCAATCAAACAATAATGGATTCATCCTCCCTTAAAATAAGGTTTGGCAGGGATTTCTAATGGGGTAATGATACTCGACTTTCAGCTCTATTTATCAAATTTAGTAAGCTAATTTTCCTTAATTTTTTAATAAAATAAACAAATAATAATGAAAAATAAATAAAACTCCCATGACATAAAATAAGCACCCAACATCATATACCTTCAAAATTACTCGACACAATATAAACCATACCAATCTAAATTCTAACAACAAAAATTTAAAAAAAAATCAAAGATTATCACATTTTATATCATACATGTGTGTATATATATATATATATATATATATATATATATATATACAAATAATACTTGTACTCGG